GTGCATAAGGATGCGTAGGTATTAAAAATATCTTTTTAGAATGTTATCCTTGAATATCCTTGGAATTTTGCTATAATTTTTAAAATATATGTATGATAAGGACTAATGTAACCTCGTCAAAATCTCAGAATTTCATCCTTCTAACATTATTAGCTTAAAAACTAAAATTGATTAAAAGGGCATCTTCAATACTTACTCGTTCTTGCGAACTTTTAATTTTTAATTCTGCAAAATTTTCTTTTTCATTTGGTACCCTTATTCTACATTGCACTGAATTTTTTAAATGAAGTCCCTTTAAAAAATTCTGACCTCACAGGGAAAAACTAAAAATGCAGTTTTACTATATAGTTTCGTGAATATATTTGATTGCAAAATATATTCATCAAAATTTCAAACTTTGTACTCAGAGTTTTTGGAAAAATTTTAGGAAATCAAATTTGTAGCCCATTAAATTATAGCAGGCTAAAGTGCAAGTTTCAAGTGGCTAAAAATACTTTGTTTTTTATAATTATTTCTTCTGGCGGGATATGTTCGACATTTTTTTTTTACGAAAAAAAAAAACGTGCACTTTATCCTACTATAATTTAATTTGCTATTAAACTGCATACCACTGCCACATAAAATTGAAATTTGGTATGCAAACATATCATTGGTAGGTGCTTATAATATGGGCGTGGAATATTTTATCAGTCATAACTTCGGAACCACAAGTCACATGACTCCTTTAATTCCTTTTGATATGCCTTTCGAATTTAAAAGACCCCAGTTTCCAGTTCGCTTAGCTTTTGCAATGACAATAAACAATAATGCTTTGTTGTCGTGAATCCCCAAGTTCATCTAGAGCTCAAATTCAGAAGAATTTTCAGGTTTATTCATTGAATTTTTCCATACAATACATTCAAATGACCACAAACCTGACGTGATAGCGGCTAACGGACCTCGGATTCGCATTCAGTATGTCGAATAACATACGGATATATAGGTTTGGTTTAATATGCATACACTTTTTTTTTTGTAAACCCGTGTTATTATTGGGTTTTATTTTTTCGCTCATTATGTGATTTTTTTTTCCACCACAAATAATGATTATTTATGATTTTTATAATTATTGAGTTTTACTTTTCCACTTAAAATAATGATTATTTATAAAATTTAAAAAGCTTTACAGACACAAGCAATAGAAATGTTGATCTGAAAATTTTAGGACTTATTACTTTTATTAGGGCGTAGCTTCTTCTGAAAAGGATACGTCGTAAATCAAACTGGTATACCTTTTGACTTTTTTGAATAATCATTATTCTTAAGAGCAAAAATAAAACTCAATAATAATTATTATCTTGGATAATCGTTATTTTTGATCGAAAAAATAAAAATCAAATAGTAATAATTTCCTTTGAGCGAAAAAATAAAACTCAAATGTTAATTATTATCTTTAATCTTTATTGGTTAAACTCAAAAAACAAAAATCATTGTAAATTGCAGTAGGACGTACGAATACAAATACGTGTGTATAGTTAAAATTACGACGATTACAACTTGCTGATTTTTTCTGGTTAAAATATAAAAAATAATGGTTATATTCCATCCCTGTTCAAAAGTAATTCAACGGATTCCGCCCTACAGTACTTGATAATTTTCGCCTATGGATCTACATTTCTCGAGCACACTGGTCCCAAGGGCATAGATCGCTCTACTGCTGCAAGAATCGATCCTATGCTTTGAGAACGTGATACTACATCGTTCTTGAGCAAGAATTCAGTGCATATCGGTCTCTCATGATGAACAACCTATTAATAAAACCTTAAAAGGGTGGTTACGATGCGTATGTTACATGGGTCCAAAATCTTTGCACGAGTTTAATTTCAAAAATGGGTATTTCAGGTACGTTTGCAGCAGTTTAAGATGCTCTGCGACCACTCACTTCAAATTAAAAAAAGTTTAAAATCGCCAACCTGGGAAAACTGAGAACTTACTTTTGTATATAGAATGCAAACTTTCAGAAAAATTTGGTTTCGTCAATTCTCTAGAAAAATTCTGAAAGGGTCGTACAGTGTTATGGAAGAAAAAATATCTCCAACCTGGCAGTGGCTCTTGTTCTGTTATATATTATATTAACACCGCGAGCCGATTACGAAATTTCGATTGCGGCTAATGTCGATCCCTTAGAGATCAGTATTTGTTCACAAGTGCGAGCCAAAATGTTTCCATCTAAGCCTCGCGAAGTTTGGAGAGTCTAAAAGACTCCTCAATATTAGGATTCTACGACAGCCGCCGTTGATCGCCCGCCTAGTTACCTGGTTCAGGTAACCTAGAGCTAGATAAAAAGGGTGTATAGAAATCGCCCTTAACCAAAAGTTCCCCATCATCTACGTAGGCGATCGCCCGACAGCTCACTTTTCCAGTTCCTCTAGAATGTCATTTACAACCGCAATCCAGGGCAGGGGAGAGAACACCACCTTGTGTAGTGCTCCCATTGATTCCCCACTCCGCCGCGACAGTTGCGTCACGATATAAGCTTATTAGGTTGGTTTCAACCCCCACATTATGAATATACTTGACTATTGCCTCTGTAGTGACATTGTTGAAGGTCCCCTCGATATCGAAGAGCCCCCATACTGCATAATCTTCATGCGTGAAGTCTTCTTCTGCTGACGACTTTACCAATGTGTGCAGGGCGGTATTCAGCGACCTTTTCTTGCTATAAGCATATTGAGCTCTTGACAGTGACTGATAGGCCTACAATCCCTAGGAGAAACATGATAACCTTTTCCGGCCTTCGGGATGAACGCAACACTGACTACCCTCCAAGCCTTGGGGATGTACCCGGTCCTCATGCATGGATCCAACCAATTGCACGACACCTTCAGAGCCCTTTGCAGCTGCGCAGATATGATGCCATCGATCCCCGGCGACTTTAATGGTTTGAATGAATTTATCGCTCAGGCCATGTGACGAATGTCGAGAAGAAACTTTTTGAAAGTGCGATAGCGATCCGAAAATTGTCGCTAACTGGTTACAGAATCCTCCCCACGGTTGGTCACATTAGTTATACCCAATTTATAAACTTATCAAATCCGCATAGAACTTAGTAGTATAAACTTATGAGGATTTATTGACAAATTATGCGAATAAATATACTTAAACTTAGAAAATTAGTGTTTTTATCTTTACATACATAGCTGTTGGGAATGTCGGCGCATTAAAAATAACACTGATGCACAAAAATGACCTAAATAACAGTTAAATGAAACCTAACTAACCTCTAACTAATCCACATTATTAAAATAATTCAGTCACCCTCAGTTTTTTTTGCAACAGCATTTAAGTAAAATTTAATAAAATACGCTTGAAAACTGTATTTAATGAAGAAAAATAAATAATCTTTTAATTTTGTTTTACGATTTTTGGGAATATTTCACATCAGGTACATATCTTTTTAATGTCCAACAGTAGTGTCAGTAGTAACATATTTGCACTCCATTTTCCCTGGTACCATTTTTCTATGTTAGATATATCCGGATGGAACCGCTTGTCGTATTCATCACTAACGGCTCCCAAATTTTTAGGAAAAAATTTAAATATGTATGAGTGTAAGAAGTTTATCTTGCGCGACATATTGCATACCATATTCTTGTAGGCTGTTAAAAGTTGCTGACCACCTCTTCATAGCTTTCGGCTTTGTGGTTTCCAAGAAAATTACGAACATTTCGAAAATATGTCCATGCGGATATTTCGATCGGATTAAGTTTTTCTTCAAACTGTTCATTAGCCAATAGGTCCCTAATTTTTTTTAATACGACATTGACTTTTAACACTTACTTGACCGCAAATATAACAAACGGGATCAGGATGATTTACATACACTCTGTGTCTGGGCATCTTCTTACGATGCGTAGAAACAACAATCACAAAAAATACCGTTTTAATGTCAATAATAATTTAACGTTAATTTATCAGTAGCACACTTTGGAAGGAAAAATACGCGTAATCACTTCAGTAAATTTTTAAGCAAAACTGAGGGTAATCGAATAAAACTAAGTATGAGGTTTATATGCAATTACGTAGTAGTATCTAAAATTATAGCTTAATTTTTTTTTAACGAAACCCCTGTTTAACAGTGTAATTACTGCATTTTTTCTCACTCAAGAAAGTTACTAAAAATTTGTTCTATTGAGCCCAGCTAAATCAACGCAACACAAAATACTTATTAAAGGTATTAGTAGGTACTACATACCTCTATAAAATAAGTGAGAAAATCTACCCAGCGGGCGCGATCTGGATAGTACTAATTTTTTAATCCAAACTTTTTCAAATGCACACACATACTCAGTGTGAGTATATACCTACATCCGTTTGTATTTAGATATACCTTGTAGTGAAAAGCCAAACCAGTTTCAAAGAATACTAGTTCATTAACTAGTATGTGCCTACCATTTCGACAATTTCGAACAACCTAAGCGTTCAGCGACATCATTTTCGTACAAATGCCGGCTGTGGCATCACGTGAAGAGTACTGGTTCTGGTTTTGAGATCGCAGATTCGAGGTCGCTTGGAGGTGGTTAAGATTTTTAAAGTTAAATCAATGTAAGTAAAAATAATTATTTAAATTTAAATATAAATGACAAATTTGAAATTCTAATTGCATTGCAGAAAAAAAACATACATATGGGAAGAAACGCTTATGCCATAGAAAAAAAAGGAATACAAAAAAAATATTTTTTTAAATTAAATTTAAAAATTATAATAAAAACCCTAAATAAAAAAAAATTAATTCAAAATAAATAAACCGGCTGAAACGCAAACGGCTGAAACGGGTAGGATTCTAGTTCACAACTAGTAGCTTTCCCTGCAGGGTAGATACATATTTATGGGAATGTTTCTCATACGCAGTGCAAGCTACTTAAGCTCGATTAATGTATTTAATTCAATGCCAGTGTTGTGTTCATTCAGCGAAAAATGTAAATAATAGTATTTGTAGATACCAAAGCTTTTTTATTTACCTATGATGACAGTCACTTTCGAATGCATTTTACGCTTATCGTGTGTGTTATCCTGTTGCTCCAGTAAAGAAATTAAATTTAATTTCACAGAAAATAATTTAAATCATAGACACTTTAGCACAGTTTGCTTCGCTATCTAACCCAGTATTACTGCTTGTTTGCAGAGGCACACCGCGTGCGATAAATAAAGCTTCTTGTCCACTTTTCACAGGACACTTGTCGAGCGAAGCTAACAACGTTTACATCAAGCAAACAAACCACAGCCACTAGACCGTCAATCGGATTAGGACGGGAGGACAGCAAACCGTTGCGGTCAAAATCTCAACGATTACTGAACTAAAATTTTAAAATTGACAAGTAGAAGAGGCAGCATTTTTTTGATTGTTGTTATTATGCTCTGTATTTCTATATACATACTTATTTGCGAGGCGCAAAAGAACTGAAGTCCCGGCATAGAACAATAAATATTTTGACCAGAGTAGTTGGCACTTAAGAACAGAAAAAGAAAAATATAAAGCAGCTACTTAAAAAGCAAACAAAAAATGAAAACATTAAAAAATACCATTAACGACAACAACATATAACGATACATACCTGTAACTGTGAGCGTGTAGTGATAGCACGTGTGTTTCATATGTATGTACACACATACTATGTGGGTGCATTCCAAAACTTCAAAATACAAAGCATCAATCTCTTTTATTTCTAAATTGCATTAGAAGAAAAAGTCTACCTTCCGGAACCTAGTTAGAAACTAGCATCTAACTGTGGTTGCGTACATTTGGCATTAAAATCGACTGAAGTTTAGAAAGAGACTGATGCTTTGCATTTGGACGTTTTGGAATGCACTCTGTATTTACAATGTAGGTGGCATAGTCATATGATGATGATGAGGGTATAAACATGTGTCTATGTATGCACACCATTGCAAGGCATTATCAACAAAAACAGAGAAATTGCAATTGCAATGTGCGGCGTCGACTGTCTCTCGCGCGCCAATATGCCAAAAATGAAAACTCACAACAATGTGGAAATGTATGTATGCTAGAGATGGTATTATTAGAAACTATTACGATACTAGCGGGATTTCGGGGTTTGTTGTGGGCCCTCATTTAACGCCAGATCAATGTTGCCACAAAATTTTCAATTTTTTTTTTGCCAAAATTACCAGAAAAAGTAACGAAATTCAATAAAAAAATTACCAAATCTTTTTTTTATGTGCAGAACTGTACATATGTACATATATCCGAAGGCAGTGGGTAGCTATTAGATATCGTAAGTTCAGATATCATAAAGCTAAAATCCCTCACCAATCTTTTCAGGCAATCAGCGCTTTTCATGTTTTCAGCGCTCAGTTCAGCTATAGGTTCGATGTCTGCGTGAGTGCTGAAAGTCAAAAAACCATACACGCTTGGTAGGAAGAAAACATTTGTTGATTTTACGATGTTTTAAGAAGTTCGTACTGTCTTATGACACATAATGGTATATTTTTCATTTAGATATAACTCTCCATCCATATAAGGCTCTTTCTACAAAACCACTGATGGCACTATTATTAGACGCATAATTTCCCGTAGAGGATGAGATGTCATTTGGCCGCCGAGATCGTCCGAATTGCCACCGTTGGACTTTTTTATGCGACTACTCGGATGACCGTATTAACCTCAAACTTTGGAGCCCTTGAAAATCAACATTTGTATAGCTATGGCCACATTTTTTACCACAAACCCACAGAAAACATCGAGTAGAATGCAAATAAAATTATAGTTTAAAAAACTAAAACCTCCCTATTATGATTGCCATTCGTACTCTCATCAGGTATGTAACTTGAGAATAGAAATCGCTGTATCTTTTAGGCGCATCAATATTACATAGTTACATCCCGAGCTAATAAAAGGGAGGTAAAAAAAGAATTAAACACATCCATTGAGCTATTCGTGCATGATGTGGTTATGAAAATATAAAATAACTAATTTTTGTATATACCAGATAGGATTACCGGTTATTAAAACACACTTAGTTAAATTTTTAAGTTGAATAAGCATTATGGTGTTATTTTTTGAAGACTTCTGAAGGGAAATAGTCTTATTCGATCAAAAAATTTCAATTTTTAACGATTTTATAGCAATTTTACGAAAAAAATTTATTTTCCCCATGTAAAATATACGGGGAACTTCAAAGCCCCGGCGGCACGGTTAAATATTACCCGATTTCAAAATAAAAAAACACGCGTCTCCTTATCTTTGATATGCTTCAGTTGGGGGTGGCAGCGGGAAAAATCAAAAAAGGGGATTTTGCTATGTATTTTTGGACCACTCTAATGTACATACATACATATCCCATTAAGTGGCCGCAAATATCTAAGAAAATCAACGTTGAAGGCAATTCTGATAATTTTAGACTCATACATAGCCAAAGTGAAGTCCCTTACTGAAAACTACTCATAAGGTAGCCACTGTACATCGGGATATTGATGATGACAATTTATTAAAGGTCACACCATTCCAGTAACCAATGACATATATTACTGAAATGTAATGAAATACTCCATAAAAAATTTAGTCAATTTTTCTGTTTTTTACTTACCATTAGATAATATTTAAAATCTTGTCTTCAAAAAGCTTTTTTCAAATGAGTTGTTTAAACTCTATCCAAAATATTGTTCATATTTATTTTCACTGCTAAATAATTCTGACATCCCGAAATATCGGGATCGTGAATACATGCCCATGTATAAGTACACATGTACTATGAATTTATGAAAATATGTGTATGCATGACTATTTGCGTATGTTTGTATATTTATGCACTCAAAGCATTTTCACAGTGGCAATAGTGTTGATTAAGGCAATT